GCACCATTGTTTCGTGGTTCTGCCCAAAATACATTAATCCTCCGATCTCTTTATTTTTGGTTTGTACGCCACCATATAAGTTCCAACCTATTGACTTCTACTCTTCATAATATGAATGTAATGGTGCGTCAAATGTTACATAAGAAACACAAAGAATTCGTTTCGCCGAAACCTCTACCCTAAATCATGTAACAGACCACATTCTAATAGGCCTGCCTGCGTCTGCGCTGTTTCGACACTGCTCCCCGCTTTCATGGAACTCAGGACTACGTCGTTCCCCCGCTCCCCGCCCTGGGTCCACAGCTCGCTGCATGTTGTGGAACACTTCGCGTAGTGCACCCATGGCATTCTACTAAGTATGCTACGTTTGGGGGCATGATTCTTGGGCCAGAAAATTTGTGACGTCACGAATCTCCACGAACAGCAACATCATACGATGGACGAGCACATATACTCCCTAGAGTTGTTCTTCATTCAAATTTGTTCTTGCGGATAATCGCTCGATTTCTATACGGCTCCAAATGTTTACGAGCTGGGACAACACAGCTAGCAGTGCTAGTTAGAAGAAGGGGCGCCACCCTTGAATCCTAAGAATCCTCGAAAATTCCTTGCCTACACCACCTGGTTTCGCCCCGAGTTCCCTCTACCTTCAGCAGCCACCAATTTTCGGTAAGCAGCCAAGAGGGCACGGGACAGCAGCCGACATGACAGCGGAAAAGTTGTTGTACTCCAACAACTTTGGGTGTCCCTCTCCCGCCCTCCGTGCCCTCTCCCTCAAGTGCTATGCCTTCCCTGAGTGGCTTTTGAGTCGACTTACATGTTAAAGTTCACCTCTCCTGCCTTCCCTGCCCCCTCCGCTAGGCGCTACGCCTTCCTCACGCCGTCTCTACTGGCCGAGCTGGAGGACGCCATGCTGCGCGGCCGCTTCAAGGGGCTGTGGAATGCCGTCGTCATGCCGGCGCCGCAGGAGGGAGGGGCGCGGCAGGGAGCAGCACGGGGGACGAGCAACGGAGGCTCAGGAGAATCTATGGGGAGGGTGAGTGGGTGAATATTGGGCGGCTGACTTACGGTGTGGTTCGTGGCTGTAACATATTTTGAGTGTACCTCCGTGTCAAACCTCGTGCCCATGCTAAACGCCATGCCCATGTCCAAGGTCGTGCCCATGCTAAACCTCGTGCCCATGCCAAACCTCGTGCCCATGCCAAACCTCGTGCCCATGCCAAACCTCGTGCCGATGCCATGCCTTGCGTTCATGCACGCATCTCCTCTGCACCTCTTCTCTACCCCACCATCGCCTCACATCACATACCCACCTCTCCCTTCCTCCCTCCCTCCTCTTCCCCCCCCTCTTCCCCCTCTTCGTCCCCCTCCCCCCAGCCTGGCGCAACTGCCAATGCTGCCCTTCCTCAGCAGGTCTGACGCCGGCGCCTTCATGACCCGCCTGGGCGTCGCTCAGAACCTCGCCCACTGCATGCTCGTAAACCTCCCCATCCCTCTCCCCGCCTCCGCACTCCCCTTCCAGTCCTCCCCACGCCCGCCCCTCTCTGCGATCCGCGCTCTCCTCGCCCGCTGGTCCACCCACCTGCCTCTGGCGGCCCAGGTGGACATGCGGCACATCCGGCGCAAGCTGCAGAAGCTGTCCAGGAACGAGTCGTCCTTCATCCTGCCGTCGTGCTGGCACTGCGCCGCGTGTCGCATGCGCTACATGATGCTGGCCGGCAGCGCCTGCTGGATTGCACTGCTGTGCTGTGTCAACTGCGCCGCGCTGCTGCTCAGCCTGCCGTCCACCCTCATCCCCATGCACTTCCTCGGAAACGCCTTGTGCTTCCTGGGCATCCGGCCGTTCGCCGCCGAGAGCCTGGACCCACGGGAGAGCCTGGTCATGAACCTGTGCTGGGGGCGCGAGAGGGGGGGCGCCGTGACGCAGGGGGTGGAAGGCTCCAAGAAGGCGGAAGGTTCAAAGAAGGCGGAAGGTTCCAAGAAATTGGTGAGTACTGGGAAGAAGGGGGGTTCTAGAAAAGCAGGTGGATGTCGGAAGGAGGGTGGCAGTGCGGATGGCAGCAAGGGAAAAGGGAAGTGTGTGAGTGGTGAAGGCACCGGGCAGGCGAGCAGATTGTCTTGTGAGACAGCAAATAGTGTTCCTTTAGGAAGTGTGAGACAAGAGGGTGTGACATTACTGCACGTGACTCTGAGTAGTGTGAGTGCGAGTGAGTTTGTGGTGGTGATTGGGGAGCTTCTTGCCTATAGCAAGCTGGGCATACAGTCGCTGCACCTTCTGCTGCCACATCTGCTCACACCCCAGCCTGCTGCTGTTCCCACTGATCCTACAACGCCTGCTACGGCTTCCACTGCTCCTTGTGCTACTCCTGTTGCTGCTGATGCGGATGCTTCAAGGGCTGCACCATACCCTGTCTCTGCTGGCAGTTCATCTGAAAACACCGCTGCTGCAACTCCTGCTGCTGTTGATGCACCTGCAGACGATGCTGCTGAGACCCCAGCTGCTATTAAAGTTGGCTCTGGTGCTGCCGCAGCTGCCACTGGCTCTACTGGCAGCACGTTTGCTAATTACACATTTCCTCGTCCCACTGCTTGCAATGCTGCAGCCAGTGATGCTGCAGCTGGCAGCAAAATTGTGGCCCTTGCCCGCTCGCTCTCAAGGTTTCTAACTTCAGCTTCTTCTCCTCCCAGCCACCCCCCCCCTCACCATCACCGCTACCACCCGCACAGCCCTCTTCCCTTCCTCCCATTGCATCAGCCATCACAGCCCTGGGACTGCCGGCCGCCATCCTGAGATTCGCTATATCGCGCCAGAACGCGTGGGTGCGGGTGAAATGCAAGTCCTTCCCCTCCATCGACGTGTGCGGCGACGGCCCTTTGCCCTCCAAGTTTGGCATTCCAATGCGCCACCCGTTCCGCGACCTGCCGCGCCTGCTGCGGGCGTGTGGGGTGGTGGTGGAGGAGGAGTGGCCGGAGTGGGACGCAGGGCGGGAGGAGGTTCTCAGGACCACGTCCTATCGTGAGCTTGACTCTTGCCACACACGCACTGCCAGGTGCACTGAACACAGCAGCAGCAGGAGCAGCGGCAGCAGCATCGGCAGCAGCAGTTGCAGCAGCCGCGGTGACCCGCCTCCCCTCTTCGCTCATTCAGATGGTAAAATCCGTGCTCCAGACAGCCTGCCTCACGTGTTCCCTGTGCTGGACCACCACCACATCTCCCCCGCCATGACTCCCTTCCTCAAGACTGTCAGTGATGTGGATGCGACCCTTGCTCTGGTGCAAGAGCGCTTCGACCGCCACCCGCCCTACTGCTACAGCTGCTACAGCTGCTCTTGCATATATGCACCGGCCGCTTTGAAACCGCCACTCATTTTGCAGCATTACTCGCCACGTCAGCACTGAACACGCGCATGCACGCACTCTCCTCACTCTTTGAAGTCCAGGGAACGGATGGGTACAGGGCTCTTGTCACTGCTCTCAAGCTGCCCACATCCATGGCACAAGGCAGGGCCAAGGCCAAAGCCATGGCTGACCAGTGCGTTGCACGCTCCCTGTCCCTGGGCCCGCTCAAAGACCCCATTGCAGCAGAGGGAAGCTTCTGGGAAATGGCTGCGTGGCTGGAGAGAGCCCTGGCGTTCCAGGCCCTGGTGGCTGTGTGCTCGCTACTGCTGGAGGTGTGCCCCGTCCCGCTCAGCGATGAGGTGGCCGCCTGCTGGCTGCCCCCTGTGGCGTGGTTCTGGGAGCAGGGGAGAAGAGCGAGGGAGGCAGAGGAGAAGGCAGAGAAGGAGGCAGAGGAGAGAGGGAGGGGGAATAGGGTGGAGGATGGGGAGGGAGGAGGGGAGAAAAAGGGAACAGGGAAGGAGGCAAGGGACGCCGAGAGGAAGAGAAAGGGCACGGGGAAGGAGGCAAGGGACGCCGAGAAGCAGAGAAAGGGGACGGGGAAGGAGGCAAGGGACGCCGAGAGGACGAGAAAGGGGACGGGGAAGGAGGCAAGGGACGCCGAGAGGACGAGAAAGGGGACGGGAGGAGCGCAGGGTTCTGGGGGTGTTGCTTGTCCTTATGTGGGTAAGGATATGATGTACTGGGAGCTGGAAGGGATAGGAGCAATGGAGGCACTGCCGTACGCCTGCTTTGCTGTACGGTCCACTGTTGCCAATGGAGAGAGGGGAAGAGAGGGCGGAAGCTTAAGGCCTGCCAGCAGCAGCCCCCCCCTCACCACTCCCCACCCCTCTGTACTTCATTCATGAGGCCCTCCTGGGGTCAGCCTGGCTTCCGCACCCCTCTGCAGCTCTGAGCGCTGCTGGCGGGAGCTACGCAGAGGAGGCGGCGAGGAGGGAGGCGAGGAGGGAGGCGAGGAGGGAGGCGAGGAGGTGTGCAGCGGAGGGGTGCGGGAAGGTGGGGGCGAGTGACTGGGAGAAGCTGAGGCGGTGCAACCGGTGCAAGGGCATGTGGTATTGTGGCATGCAGTGCCAGCCCACTCACCGGAAGGAGCACAAATGGGAATGCAAGAAAGTGCGAGAAAAAGAAGTGTGATGGCAGCTGTAGTGAAGGAAGGTGGGGAGGAAGCAGTTGTAGCTGTGCAGTTGGTGCCAGAGCGCGTGCTACTGCGGCAAGCAGTGCCAGGCAGCACACTGGGCGGCGGAGCACAAGGGGGAATGCGTCAAGGGGAGAGCTGGTGACGCTTAGTGTGGTCGTGTGTTGAGGCAGAGTGCCGCGAGCAGAGATCACCCTCAACATGCCTATCTCATGCTGTGCAATGATGGTGCGCAGTGGGGCAGATGGTGCATGCTGTAGCATGATGTCGCAGGATGTTGGGAGGTGCTGCATGCTTTGGAATTGTGAAGTAGTGACGTGGTTGTGCCTAGATCTGCAGTGAGATGCTCTGTGGAACAATCAGAACTGGTTCTACCAGAAGAAACAATGACTGCCTTTACATGTAGCTAGCACCCTGCATACCATCACCAGTTCAAGGCTGCAACTAGCAAGACATTTATTCCTCCCACTGTTCGCCACATAGCTGTATCTGAGTGTAGTCTGGAGGGAAGAAACTACTAATGCACCAACGCTGGTCGTTTAGATGGCTATCCTCCTGCAGAATGTCCACCATGACTCTCACTTCCCTTGCCGCCCCTTCCCTGACTCGTCGCTTTCCATAATTCCTCCCGCCTTGCTTGCTTTGCTTCCTGCTTTGCATCGCGCCTTCTTTGCTTCTCACTCCATCTCGAAGCCGGACCCTCAGTCTCCTCCAATTCTTCAACCTCCCTTACCGCCTGCCATTCCACACCCAAGCCTCCCTCAACCCTCACCCTAGAGATCATGTCCTTCAACCTTGCAACCGATTCCTCAAACTTGCTCGTACTCACGGCCATATCCCTCTTCATACTCTCCTGCTGCCCTGCCACCGTTCCCAGCTCTCCCCTCATCTGCTGAACCCTGTCCTCCAGCCTGCTGCCCTGCACCTCCAGTGCCTCAACCCTCCCCTTCAACTCCCCCACTCCTGCGTGCTCCCTCTGCCTCCTCTTTCTGCGTTCCACTATGACACGACGGCAGGCAGAAAGCCAGGCCAGGGTGGCGCAGAAAGGTGCCAGCAGAACCAACCTGGAGGGAAGAAGCGCCTGAGGTTAGTGAAACCAGCTACGGAGGAAAGGTAATGTCAGGTGAACTGCGAAACAAACTAATCCACACACCTGACGAGAAACAAGACTCGACTCACTCCATATGTCTGCAGGAAGGGAGGAGAGGAAAGAAGCGCCGTCGTTAAAAAAAAGGGGGGGGCAAGGTGTCGGTGGGGGAAGAAAGAGGAAGGGGGGGGGAGAGGGGGGAGATCAGTGGGGACATAAAATTACATATATCTGGCTTTGAAAATCATGGAGATTGGGAAGCGAGCTCCAGGGTATGCATACCATGTAGGCAAAGCTTGTGCGGCTGAAGCTGGGCAGACGACTTCCCACCGCAACCTTCTTCTTCTGCACCCACGACTTGATGTGTGTCGGCGAGACGCCGCAGCACCAGAGGAGAGCGAGCAGGGTGCTCCATGCAAGGTACAGGAGAAAGACCTGCAGAGCACAAGATACGGCAGAGGCTCAAATGCAAGAGTTTCCTTGACCGAGAGTCAAGGCCCATACTTTCCTTGACACAGTCACGCAAGTCTCACTTCACTCATTGCTGCTGTCGTTTCCCTTGGGACGAACAAGCAGAAAGACAGAAATACTGGAATGGCAAAAGTACGTTTCCAAGGGCGAAACTGAAGGAACGTTGGAGATGCGGGGAAACACTCACCGCACCGCAGAAAATCCAAGCAGGCATCTCGCGAGGATCCAACGTCTGGCTGAATTCCGGAGGCTGATGAGGACCAATGGGGACTTCCGAACCACCCCTTGTGGCACCGGCATTAGGCTGCACGGAAAGAGCGCAAGAACCACGCACGGCGGGAAGGATTGAGAGGAGGATTAAGACGGGGAGGATTGAGAGGAGGATTGAGGCGGGAAGGATTGAGAGGAGGATTAAGACGGGAAGGATTGAGAGGAGGATTGAGGCGGGAAGGATTGAGAGGAGGATTGAGGCGGGAAGGATTGAGAGGAGGATTAAGACGGGAAGGATTGAGAGGAGGATTCAGACGGGAAGGATTGAGAGGAGGATTGAGACGGGAAGGATTGAGAGGAGGATTCAGACGGGAAGGATTGAGAGGAGGATTCAGACGGGAAGGATTGAGAGGAGGATTGAGACGGGAAGGATTGAGAGGAGGATTGAGTCGGGAATGATTGAGAGGAGGATTCAGACGGGAAGGATTGAGAGGAGGATTGAGACGGGAAGGATTGAGAGGAGGATTCAGACGGGAAGGATTGAGAGGAGGATTGAGACGGGAAGGATTGAGAGGAGGATTGAGACGGGAAGGATTGAGAGGAGGATTCAGACGGGAAGGATTGAGAGGAGGATTGAGACGGGAAGGATTGAGAGGAGGATTGAGACAGGAAGGATTGAGAGGAGGATTGAGAGGAGGATTGAGACGGGAAGGATTGAGAGGAGGATTCAGACGGGAAGGATTGAGAGGAGGATTCAGACGGGAAGGATTGAGAGGAGGATTCAGACGGGAAGGATTGAGAGGAGGATTCAGACGGGAAGGACACAGATAAAGAGGGAACTGTGTGCTTGGAGTGTGTGAGAAGGATGCCCGAAGCGTATGGACGGAGGGCACATGGGAGGTTGTGAAATCCGGGACCATACGATGGCTCATAGTGCTGCTGCCACGACTAGCAGAAATACTTACAATGGAGAGAAATGTTGTTAAAAAAAGTGAAAAAAAAAAAAGTTTGCAAGAAAAGTCAAATTAGAAAGGCACCTGAGGGGAGACTAGCAGCAAGGTGCGGGGATCACTCCTGAGAAGACCAGTGAACTTGAGGGCCTGAGAAATAGAGAACGCCGGGCAGAAGGGTGAGATGACTGCGAGCCAGCACATGCTCCTCGGCTTTCCAGCCCAACTCTTCAACCACATGGGCATGGGTAAGTAGAGGACAGGAGAACAAGAGGGCATAAAACAGGAAACAAACGGATTTCTGAGACACCAGAGTGTGCCGATGTTACCAGATTAACCAATATTCGCCACGCCAGCCAAGACTACCATGTCAGCATGTTGCCGCGCCAGCACGTTGCCACGTTACCATGTCAGCATGTGTTACCATGCCAGCATGTGTTACCATGCCAGCATGTGTTACCATGCCAGCATGTGTTACCATGTCGGCATGTGTTACCATGCCAGCATGTGTTACCATGCCAGCACGTGTTACCATGCTAGCATGTGTTACCATGTCGGCATGTGTTACCATCCAGCATGTGTTACCATGCCAGCATGTGTTACCATGTCGGCATGTGTTACCATGCCAGCATGTGTTACCATGTCGGCATGTGTTACCATCCAGCATGTGTTACCATGCCAGCATGTGTTACCATGTCGGCATGTGTTACCATGCCAGCATGTGTTACCATGTCGGCATGTGTTACCATGCCAGCATGTGTTACCATGTCGGCATGTGTTACCATGCCAGCATGTGTTACCATGCCAGCATGTGTTACCATGCCAGCATGTGTTACCATGCCAGCATGTGTTACCATGCCAGCATGTGTTACCATGCCAGCATGTGTTACCATGCCAGTATGTGTTAGCATGTCAGCATGTGTTACCATGCCAGCATGTGTTACCATGTCGGCATGTGTTACCATGCCAGCATGTGTTACCATGTCGGCATGTGTTACCATCCAGCATGTGTTACCATGCCAGCATGTGTTACCATGTCGGCATGTGTTACCATGCCAGCATGTGTTACCATGTCGGCATGTGTTACCATGCCAGCATGTGTTACCATGTCGGCATGTGTTACCATGCCAGCATGTGTTACCATGCCAGCATGTGTTACCATGCCAGCATGTGTTACCATGCCAGTATGTGTTAGCATGTCAGCATGTGTTACCATGCCAGCATGTGTTACCATGTCGGCATGTGTTACCATGCCAGCATGTGTTACCATGCCAGCATGTGTTACCATGTCAGCATGTGTTACCATGTCAGCATGTGTTACCATGTCAGCATGTGTTACCATGTCAGGAATCGCCCAGCCAAGAAAGGCAAGGGCGTTCTGCACTCTGTCCGCAACCATCCTCGCCATAAGCATCTTCCACATGAAGACAGAAACTACAACCGCGCCCACACCGAGCTCGCTCCCAAGCACGCCAGAAGTCGTTCTCCCGATCGCGGGTGGTCAGTCGAAGGGCAGCAACAGCACTCTGCAGGCAGTCTAGATCTGAAGGCGCGCTCAAAACCAAACCTCCCTACTCTTGCCGAAATTCCGCGATCTCTGACCGTCTCTCAGGGAGGCCGTGGGAGACAGGCCTGTCTGTGGGAACAGCAGTAGTCCTCCGTCTGACCGTAGCCGCACTGGCGACTGCAGGAGGACGGTGCAGTTGCGCAGAAAGCATGGCTCACCGCTAATCTACGATGCACATCAATTCGCCCGAAGCTCTCGCTCGCCAATCAGCTGCCATTGCGATTGACAGGCGCGCAGCGGAGAGACACACGAAGATGCAGCAGGATGAGCCTCGCGCGCAGTCGGTCCGCCCGCCCTCCGCTCAGAGCCTTCCCATGGCGCACGGCGCGCCGGCTGTCTGCAGAGGGTGCTACCATCGCGCACGGCGCGCCTGCTGTCTGCAGAGGGTGCTACCATCGCGCACGGCGCGCCTGCTGTCTGCAGAGGGTGCTACCATCGCGCACGGCGCGCCTGCTGTCTGCAGAGGGTGCTACCATCGCGCACGGCGCGCCTGCTGTCTGCAGAGGGTGCTACCATCGCGCACGGCGCGCCGGCTGTCTGCAGAGGGTGCTACCATCGCGCACGGCGCGCCTGCTGTCTGCAGAGGGTGCTACCATCGCGCACGGCGCGCCTGCTGTCTGCAGAGGGTGCTACCATCGCGCACGGCGCGCCTGCTGTCTGCAGAGGGTGCTACCATCACGCACGGCGCGCCTGCTGTCTGCAGAGGGTGCTACCATCGCGCACGGCGCGCCTGCTGTCTGCAGAGGGTGCTACCATCGCGCACGGCGCGCCTGCTGTCTACAGAGGGTGCGACCATCGCGCACGGCGCGCCTGCTGTCTGCAGAGGGTGCGACCATCGCGCACGGCGCGCCTGCTGTCTGCAGAGGGTGCTACCATCGCGCACGGCGCGCCTGCTGTCTGCAGAGGGTGCTACCATCGCGCACGGCGCGCCTGCTGTCTGCAGAGGGTGCTACCATCGCGCACGGCGCGCCGGCTGTCTGCAGAGGGTGCTACCATCGCGCACGGCGCGCCTGCTGTCTGCAGAGGGTGCTACCATCGCGCACGGCGCGCCTGCTGTCTGCAGAGGGTGCTACCATCGCGCACGGCGCGCCTGCTGTCTGCAGAGGGTGCTACCATCGCGCACGGCGCGCCTGCTGTCTGCAGAGGGTGCTACCATCACGCACGGCGCGCCTGCTGTCTGCAGAGGGTGCTACCATCGCGCACGGCGCGCCTGCTGTCTGCAGAGGGTGCTACCATCGCGCACGGCGCGCCTGCTGTCTGCAGAGGGTGCGACCATCGCGCACGGCGCGCCTGCTGTCTGCAGAGGGTGCGACCATCGCGCACGGCGCGCCTGCTGTCTGCAGAGGGTGCTACCATCGCGCACGGCGCGCCTGCTGTCTGCAGAGGGTGCTACCATCGCGCACGGCGCGCCTGCTGTCTGCAGAGGGTGCTACCATCGCGCACGGCGCGCCTGCTGTCTGCAGAGGGTGCTACCATCGCGCACGGCGCGCCTGCTGTCTGCAGAGGGTGCTACCATCGC